TCGTCTGCTTGCTCCCCAATATAATAGACTTACGTACATTAGTTTGAACGAAACGAAACAGCACTTTCTCTGTAAATTACTACAATTCTTCATTTATTACTAATTCAACAATAATCTCTTAGCAGTTTCCTTCCATGTTAAGCCACGCCAAGCTATATATATATACACACACATATGTACGTTCATTCCTCCTCAAGCTTCATTCACAGCAAACCGTATAGCTGTATACTCTCATTTCTCTTCTAAGCTTCATTCACAGAACACCATAGATACCTCTCTCATTGTTCCTTATTCATCGATCATCATCAATATTCTTTCTTACCTGTGTGTCTCTATCTATATATCTGCTTCATCTTCAAGCTTCATTATTATTATTATTCATATAATGAGTTCTTCGAGCATCAACATCCAGAGCATTTTGTCCCCTGCGCCTCCTCGTACTCAGGGCTCTAACATCAGACCAGGCACTCGCATCCCAAACACCAAGGATCATTTTTCCAAGAGTCGATGATGACTCATTTCATAATTCCATATTTTCTCAGGTTAATATAATTAATCTTCTATATAAACACATACACCCCCCTTCTGAATTACTTACTAGAAATCAATTTAGGTGGCGTTCTTTATGAGGAGAAGCGCTTCTTGTTATAACCCTTGGATTTCATTTCCATGCTGATCAATCTTGCAGATGAAGCGAACGCCGTTATATTGATTATGCAGTTTAAGTAGTTGCATATATATGCGTGTGTGTGTAGGATTCATCCATATGATTGTATTATTTATTATTCTTTAGTTGTTCGTTTTTATGTCTATATGTTTGATTTGATTATTTGGTGGGTACCACAAACATTGGAGTTTAATGATGTTCATTTGAAAGCTGCTTAAACCTTGTACTTTCCGTTTGCTTCTTGTGATCATTGGGAATTAAATAAGACAGTTCCGATCCCTTCATGCAAACCATCGGCGCTCAAAAGGTCAAAACACACAACGTTAATGCCGCATTCCATATGTACTCCTCTTTTAATTTATGCAACACACTATATATGAAATTATATCTCTCTTTTCAGCTTCTTATGATGCGTACAACATATAAATTAATTAGTCCATTTAATATTAATTTGAAGATCTGACGGAATCATTCCCCCACTTACTAGTTTTAGCTTCTGCAAAATTAATAAATTGTACTACCTCTGGTCCTTATTATAAGACCCCGTTTGACTTTTTGTTTGGTCCTAATTATAAGACCCCAATCTATTTTTTCTTTCATATTTATGCATTTTTTTCCAAGATAATCCTTCTAATAATGATAGTTCTAGCCAATATACTTAATTAGCAAGGATATTTTAGGAATGACAACACTTATTTATTACAAATAACTAACTTAACTTACTTTCTTAATCTCCTCAAATAAGTCAACTGGGTCTTATAATTAGGACCGGAGGTAGTATGTCATAATTTAAAACCTTTTCTGGCCTGAGCCTCTGCTAAAAGTTTTGGGCCCGTTTGGAATGATCAAACCATATTTTTAACAATAAAATTGTCGTTACGTTTAACTAACCATGGTTTTCATCACCCTGATTAAAATGTAATTTAGTCACTATTTTACCACTGTGTATTTTGTTATACACTGCTCATTATCAGTTTGTAAAAGAAAATTTTGGCCAAAAAATTTGAAAAAAAAATTATTACACGTCTATATGTGTGCTGGTTATGTAGTTTTGTAACAAAAATAATTGGGGGATTATATATTGCGTTAGATCTTCAAATATTAAACCGACAATTTCGCAGAGAGCGTCTGGTAAAAACAAATGGCCCATCAATTTAAAAATAAATAAATTAATTAAAATGAGAGGAGTGAATTTTTTTTTTTTTCAACCCTGACGAAAGGGACAATTCTTATGAGACACGAAAAAGATCCAATAAAAACGACTTTAATGGGGAAAGGGCCAGACATGATGGGACACCGCACGAAACTTTTTATGCTGTTCTGATTACAACAAAAGGCAAAGAAAAAGTACAAATCCCATTTTTGGAAGTAGATATAGACAAGGAATAATGAATGAAACCTAGACACATGAAAAACGAACAGATCAAGAAATGGAACAAAAAATAAGTCAAAGAACATGATTAGATTTGTCCTAGATAGTATATATGCAAACTCTACTTCCGTTTTCTTGCTTTATTATGGAAACCACTTGAGTCTCCATTCTCAAAGACGCTTGCTCGCTCCACAATCTGTATGAAGACGAGAACCAAATTATGATCCAATATAGAAGGAAACGAACAGGGGGAAAATGTAAAAAGAGAATCCAATCCCGAAACAATAGTTTATTGTCTGGGAGAGAGACTCCTCTTGCTCTGATGCAGGATCGTAACATTATCAGTGTATATATGGAAGATGAAGGTAGCTGATGGATGGAGAACGAAGATACCCATGAGAAGAAATTAAGTGTTTGATCTGGAAACGATTTTGTGGGCAGTGGGAATACGAGTCCCAGCTGAGGGAGTGGCAGGCTGAGATTGAGAAGGGGAAAAACATCCTGAGGGTTTGTTTTCCGATAATCCATTTTCCATCGATCGGCAGGGTTAAAGCCTGAATGAAAAATATTGGAAATTGAAATGATCAGCGGCGTTCGATGAGCCATGAAGGAGGCGAGAAATTAAAGAGACGCGTGTAATTAATTAATAAGCCGTGTTGCGCCATAGAGGAGAATTTCCAGGAACGCAGAGTGTGAAGCCCTCTAATTGAGTATAACCGACCAAGCGTCTATATGTGTATAAACAAGAGATTACGAAGAAGAAGAAGAAGGAACTAATTAAGAGATTTGTGTTGGATGAGAATTTACAGAGAAAGTTGTGAGAGATTGGGATGCCAGACGTTTCGCTGCATTACGTATAATCTGGGCGCCTGCAAATCTTTGCGTGCGTGTACGATTTTATCCCTGACTTGGGTTTGATTTCACCTCCATATCCTTTGCTCATTTATATCTTTGACCTCGCCTCTTCCGATTGGATGGATTACTTACTCCAGGTGGGCTCCCCATATCATTCGTCTATCATTTATAAACTTCAGTTTAATAATTCATTCGGTCTCCAAACAATGTTTATTTAAGTCTCCGAAAAAATATTTATTTAACATTAAGTGTTGCAAATGTTAATATAAATAGGGATAAATATGAAAGTGTAGCTAATTAAGTTGCAAATCAACAACTAGTGACAGTTAAGGATCATCTGTATGAATTGTACAATCTGTATATTTATCTTTTAATACAATTCTTTTGGGACCTTAGTCTCATTAAATTGAAGTTTCGGAAGCTAATAACTATCATTCTCCCTAATATAATGTACAATAAAAATTAATCGGTTGTGATCTGCAATATAAGTCTTATTATCCCAAATTTATTACTCTTCCGGTTCTAAATATAAGACCCTTATACTAATGTGTATAAGGGTTTTACATTTAGGACTGAAGGAGTGTTTCATTCAAAATATAAGTTGACTTTGATATTGAACCAACCCAATCTATATATAAGGGCGTGTATGGGAATGGAAGATAAATTCGTGACACGCTTGTTTAAATATTAAAGTTCAAAATGATGGACATACAGAATCCAAATGAATTAAAAACAAATGCATTCATGCATGATTTAAAATTATATATTGGTTAGTTGAAGCAAACGGGCGGGCACACAATATTATTTTAGTTATAAACAGTTGATATTTTATTCATCATCTTCTTAAAATGTTTGATCTGTTTTGTGATTAATTATGGCTGGCTAGGACAGCCTGGCTACAGCTATCAAATTTGTGAACCACATGATCACAACAAGATTTATCTTAGGGTAATAAACTTCGTTACATTAAGGGAAAATTGAGATTTTAATTTCTAAATTCTAGTTTTCCTTCAGTTTAATTAATTTCAATTCCTATGATTTACAACCTTTACAATTGGCATATCAACCCAAAGAAAAAGGACCGTGCCAAATAATTTTTGATGCAAATAAAGATCGGTAATACTCCCCCAAAATGTTATATTACGAAATATATATGGGTGGTTAATTAAATTAATAACATAGAGGTTTCCCATGGCTGATTAGAAGATTAGTGATTAAATTAATTGATTTGCGAAGTATAAACAGAAAAAAGAGGGAAGTTTGAAGATTGAAGTGAAACACGTCGTCCGATGAGTATTTGCGTCCACATTACTCCCTCAGTTCCTTATTATAAAAGACAAATAATCAAATTACGTTGATAAAAAAAACAGTTAAAATTAGTTGAGGACAATTAATGTGTAAAAAGCATAATGTTTTTTTCCAACAATGCCCCCATTAATAAGGAGAGAGAGTATGAGAGAGAACAATTAAATTATTAAAAGAAAGAGAAGTGGGAGGGAGAGAGAGTATTTCCACAAACGTCTCTCTGGTCAAACCCTTAATGGGCGAACCAGACTTAAATCGGACATAATCGGCAAACATTTCTATGCAGAAACGAGGTGGGTGTTCACACCCTACTACGACGTTCCTCGAAGTTATCGCCCATCCATGGCCCCAAACAAACTGAATAAACGACCTGACCGCCAGCTCACAACCATCGCCCTTCCATATCACCGACACGGCTTTAACGCTCTGTTGAAGTGGTCGCCTGCTTCCTCCCTAAACTTACGTACGTATTAGTTCGAAACAATAGAACTTTCTGGTAAATTACTAATTCATTTATTAATTCGACAATACTCTCTCGGCTAGCTTAGCTTCCTTCCATGTTAAGCCACGCTAAGCTATATATATCTACCTTCATTCCTCCTCAAGCTTCATCCCCCTCCCTCTCTCTCTCTCAGCATTAGTCTTTCTGCTTACCCTCTCGAAGAAGAAGCTTCATTCACAGAAAACCCTAGCTGTCTCTACTCTCATTCCTCATTCATCGTCATCAATTATCTTTCCTACCTGTGTGTGTGTCTCTCTCTCTATATATATATCTGCTTCATCTTCAAGCTTCACTATTATTCACAGCAAACCCTATCTGATCTATTACTCTGACCAATATACAATCTGTGGAAGAAGAAGCAGTATGAGTTCTTCAAGCATCAACATCCAGAGCATTCTTTGCCCTACGCCTCCTCCCACACAGGGTTCTAAAACCAGACCAGCCACTCGCATTCCAAACTCCAAGGATCACTTCTCCAAGAGTCGATGATGACACACTTCACAATTCCATGCATTTCTCAGGTTAATACATACATATGTATATTCACTCGTTTTTCTTGTTACATCTTCGTTCTCGATCAGGTTCATGCTGGTTGGGGCAATGTTTTTACCTGTTTATTTCCGTCATAACAGAAGCACTTTATGTTACTTATAACCCTTGGGTTTCATTTTCATATTTGCAGATTAATCTTGCGGATGAAGCCGCTGCATCATTGATTATGGATCGTTAATGATTGGGTCACATGAAGGGAGAATCGAAATAGTTGCAAATATATGTAGGGCACATTACTATATATATGTTATATTCTTTATTCGTTCGTTTTTATGTTTGATTTGATCATTTGTTGTCTTATACAAACAGTGGAGTTAGTTAATAATATTCGTTTATTCGAAAGCTGCTTCCTTCGTAAATCTGTTTCCTTGTACTTTTTGTAATCATTTGAATAAAATAACACAGTTGCGATCAGTGTCTATCAAAAGGCACACATATAAAGCTAAGTATCAAGTTTATATAATGTTAAGGGACGAAAGTGCATAATACCTATACATCATATCAAGAAAATCGAATTAAAAATTTGGAGGGTCAAAGCCAATCCCTACTCTGATCTCCACCTTTGTGTGTGGGTTCCATCAACCGATGCTCTCTCCGAGTTTTTTAGATTCAAAGTATTTAATATATAATAAATTTGAACGAAGAAGTCGTGTTTAATAGAATTTCCAGTTTAAATAAAGATTGCTGGGTGGAGTCAACTTTCCGATTTTCAGGGCTTATATGTGTGTGTGTGACTAAGGTCAACTACTAAAACATATTCCTCTAGTCTTATTTATAAAGCACTTTCAGCATATTTCACATAGACAAAAAAAAATCTTAAAATGTATTAACTCTCCATTAAAAATAACAATTTTTTTAACTTTACTCATATTTAATATATACACCTTTCAAAAGAAATAACTACTTACACTATAATAAATGAAGGACAAAATGATACATTCACGCTAAAAATTTAATGAAGTGACTTATAAATAGGACTGAAAAAAAATCCTCTTTTTGCCCTATAAATAGAATCAGAGGAATATATGAGACGTAATAAATTAAAGCTATGGCTAACTCTTGGTAGTAAAATCAACTTTTAACAATTTACTATATGACAGGAAACTCCTATAACTTACATATATAGAACTTATTTGTATCTTTTGAATGATTCAATTCATGTAAGTTCTTGGAAATGCTGATCGGAAAAGGTAGCGTGTAATATTCATTTAAATGATGTTATAAGGTCGGCAATAAACATTATTATAAGGTTCAATACTTCGTCGAGATGGATCACAGCATTTTATTTTATCCCTTGTGCACTCATAAATGAATAGAATAATAATATTATATATAATGTTATCAGTTTTGCAAAATAAAGCTTTCAAATTCTCTCAGTTGAAGAGATTGTGTAAGAAGAAGAAAATTAATGTAGTTATATGAGGCATACATATCATACATTGAGGACTGATGTCCCTTTTTCAAATTCCATATGCTCTTATAAATTTTATTTGATTTCTTCCAGCGGAACAAACTCTTCTGTCTCTGTCACTATTTTAACCCTAGACATTTAACTAAGCCCGTTTTTGAATTTTTACCCGAAAAACGAAAAAAATCATTTCTGATTGGATCAGAAATGGAGACTTCAGAATGCATATACGTTAAAGACAAATTCATCTTATCTTAAAAATGGAACTGATTCTACGTACAGTGCCGAACTTATCTGATTCCAATGATTCCGTAATATACAAAGTATAAACGACAAAGTAGGCCGACATGGATTTACCAAAAAGACTGTTCTTTTATCTTAAAGAATAATTGTAGCCTTTTAGACAGACGTTTAATTCTATATATATCAACTTTCCAGTTTTCATGGTATACGATACTATAAGGTCAACTAAAACGTATTTGAGAAGTAATTCGGTAAAGTTATGGTATATACTATACATGGCCGAAAAGAAGAAAAGAAAGGTGCATATACTATATATGTTTATAAAGACAAACTTCACCTTAAAAGTGAAATTGATTATTCTAGGCGCAGTACCAAACTTTATCTTATTCCAAGATTCCATACTATAAACAACAAGTATAGGGACATAGATTTCGAGAAGGCTCTTTCAAATAGATACTGTCTCCACTATTGGAAGTCATTCCGCAATACAAGCTAATTAGTCAAATCCAGACGTAAGACCAAACAACAACCAAATTGAAGAATTACAACTCTTTCTGGTAATCTAGCTTGCTACCTAGCTAGCTAGAGGCAAAGTGAACAAATTAAGAAAAAAAATTGAATGAGAAAAAAATAAGACCAAAAAAAGAACAACAACTGTACACCTAGAAAATACAAGCAAATTTGAGAAATGATATATCATACATATATACATGTTTATTTGGATATTGTGATGTATCGAATATTCAAGATAGAGCAAGTAAATTAATCAATTATTTACGGGGGAAAAGTCGCTTTGGATCTTGATCGAGTTAGCTATACATAAACTACTTCACATTTTAAAAAATTGAAATAAAATTCTTTGTAACTCATTTATGATTAATTATAAAGCAGAGAGAGAAGACATTTTTTTTGCCCTATTTATAGGATACCGAGAGAAATTTTTTTGTATGGATATATAATTTTACCACTTATTTATTATTGTGTTGGCTTTGTTTATATGAGGTATAATGTACATTAAATAGGAATAAAATTGAAAAGTTATTAAATTTTAAATGAGAGTTAATAAAGTTTAAGGTTTTTCTTGATCTGTGTAAAATATACTGGAGGTGTCTTATAAATAGGACCAGAGCAGTAGACAGGAAGTGATGATAAAGAAGTGTTTCAAAATCGCTTCAAAGTAAGTGGGAGTGTTCAGTTAGAAAGAACATAATTAATGAGTATGTAGATCTTAAATTAAGAAATGAAAGAGGTGTAATAAAAAACGAAGAGTAAAATAAATTAGTTAACCTGCATATATATCAGCGACGTCTCTTGGAAAAGACATCCTTGGCACTTGGGATTTGAGTGCCAGGTCTTGCCGGAGGATTCTGGGGAGATGGCCTTGAAGGGCTGAAAATCTTAGGAGCGCTAACGTTTCCAGAACTCAAATCTCTGATTCTAAAACAGGATTATATTTGATGCTGGTTTGATCTGTCTCACAGATTATTGATTATTTTGCTTTGTTTGGAGCTTTATTGAGGATCGACTACTTATATCGACAGACAAGCTAGGCATTATGGTCCAACGTTGAAAGAAGGAAATTAATGGGAAGTGACCAAGTGATTGTTAAGGTATTTTACGTGGAGACTTTAGTTTGTATATGAATTAATTCATTACTGTAGTCGGCAAATTGAAACCAGCATTGGATTAGGGGGCACGTTAATGATCAAACTCTTAGGCCAACTCTGAGTCTCTTCTCTCTCTCTCTCTCTCCCTATATATATATATATATATATATATATATATGAAAATCCTTAACGTAAGTTTGCTGAATGATTGGCATAGAATTGAAGCTCTTTTTGAGAGGTATGGACTTTGGATGCGCGATTTCGGAATTTTTCTGCATTTCCGCTCCGTCTCAGGGGTATGCTTACTCGGCGTGACGTCACAGGGGTATTTTTGACCTTTTGGATGTGAAGAACTTGACCATGTCTTCGTTGTAGGTGTATATTATCATCTTATGACTTCGAATCCCTGAACTTCTTATCCTTCAACTAACATGTCTAGTAATCTTTTCCCATTATATTGTTAATTCAATTATAAGTAAATATGTACAGCTTATTATAATATATATATATATCGATTTTATAAAAATTATTTTTGATACACGAATTTTATATAAATTACTATACTGGTCAATGATGACAATGACCCTAGAATCACATAAAATTAAAGGTCCTTTTTTTTTCCCCATTTAACAACCGAAATATGACATTGGCGATGTCGTCCTAGTTAAGGTACCTTAACTTGTGTCCGAACTAGTTAGTCTTCTTCATGGACTATGTGCCTGTTTGGCAACACTTATTTGGAGCTTATAAGTAGCTTATAAGCTCTATAAGCTCTATAAGCTCGATTGACAAAAGTAGAGTCTGTTTGGATCAGCTTTTTTGCAATCGGGCTTTTGTCTGAAAAGCTACAATAAGCTATAAGTTAAAATTAACAGCTTATGGTTTATAGCTTATGGCTTATGGCTTTTAAAATATGGAGAGAGAAAAAATTAAGAAATTTATTACTTCTTTTGGTTCTTATTATAAGCCTCAAATAACTAATTTGTAGATAATAAAAAATCAATTAAAATTAGTTGAAAGTAATGAATAAGTTAGAAATATATTTTTATTTTTAAATATGCTCCTAAAAATATACTTTTATTTTTTCATGTTTCACTTTATATTTAAAATATTTTTTATGACTTCTTCATATTAAATTATTGTAATTTCATTGTATTATGTGAAATTATTTTTTTAATCATGTTTCATTATTTATTAAAACTCATGCTCATTTTGGTAATTTTTCAGCCAAAATTACTTTTACTCAGCTATAATTCAAACAAGCTTTTTCCAATCTCATTTTTGTAAACTAGCTTGTCTGAACTCCAATCCAAACACAATTCAGCTTATCCAATTTAACTTTTACCAACTTCACTTTTCCATAAGCTACTTTTTCTATAAGCTGCTTTTCCAATCGCTGATCCAAACGGACCCTATGTGGTGGAATTTTCACCTTAATTTCCTTGGCTTTTCCCCGTTTATTTTTTTTCAATATTATAAACAGTTGATATTTTATTCATCATCTGGTTAAATCATTGATTAATATATTTGTTGTGATGATAACTAAGCTGGACAGCCATGGTCAGCTGTAGCCAAGAATATTGTGAATCACATCATAACAAAATGAACATTTGATATTATTTTGGCGGCGGTCCCAAAAAAATATAATCTGAGCTCCCTCCGGTCAAAGCGGTGATGAGCTATTAATATTTTTCATTGTTGATTAGATTAGTTATTAATTTAATGGATTTATTAAATAAAACTATACGCACATGATGACTAAAAAAAGGGAGGGAAATCTGAAGTCTGAAGTGAAACACGTCGTCCGTTAACAAAAAAACTGTCTTACTAACCAAAAATAAAAAACAAAAAAAGAGCCGTATGTCGGATTAGTTGGAAAAAGAACTTTCTCTGTAAATTACTGTTTCATTTGTTAAATCAGCAAGAATAATCTCTTATTCATTCCATGTTCAGCTATATATATATATATATATATATATATATAGGTTGATTATATTCCTCATCATGGTCTATCTCTCTCATCATTAATCCGCGGAAGAAGAAGAAGAAGCAGTAAGAGCTCTTCCAGCATGAACATCCAGAGTGC